GTTTATTGTCCTTTTTCTCCGATCTTCTTTCCCGAATGAGATCAGATAAATGACAAGCAGCAGCCCGGCGATGAGGTTTAGCGACTTTAACGGATATTTACGAACAGTTCAAGTTTAATAACCAAAATTTGAGGGTTTAAAACGAATGTCAACATGGCCAGCAGACTGACTGACTGACTGATAAGTGATGTAGCTTTGAGTAGAGCAGCTGCAAAAGTTATCAGTTGCATAGTTTGAGAAACACATTTTAAAGAAATAGATCCAGTGACAGTAAGCTTAAGTTTGGAGGGATCTCAGTCTCGAGGCGGTTTTGACATTATGCTATTTAAAAAAAAAAATCACTAAACATAGTTCATCGTACTTTCTGATGCGCTGCTTCCGCTTGGAGCTTGTGGTGCATATTCACTTTTTAGTTGAAATTAACGTAGAAAATAGTTATTTTCCCCCTAAATTCTTGACGTCGGATTAATCTCATTCGCAGTATCCTCCATTCATTTATGAACAGTTCAAATCCAAAAGTACCGAGACCGCTCGGACAAGCATTTTGTATATCCCCATATCTGTGGTGCTACTGGAATGCTACTGTTCATACGTGTGGCTGACGCAGCTGTGTTAAGCCCTCCCTTGTTTGAACCAATTTGCGCAAAATATAGATGGAAAATTGATAAAAAAAATTGAAAATTTCCAAAAAGTAAAAAAATGAAAATAATCATAGCTAGGGAAAACTGTTCGGTTACTGTCCCTCCTTTTTTGGCAGAAGCAGTGCCAGAATTATTGGTGTGAGAGGAAAAATTCAGTTAAAATGAGGGAAAAGTAGAAAAAAAAACACGAAAACTGCAAAGGGAGAGGCAAAAATGGGAAGAGATACAGATTTCTGCTAGCGAGGTAAAGATTTTTACACCAAAGTGGTACTTAATTCAGCTAAGTCTGAAATCAAAATTTAATTCACAGGGCACGAAAACCGATATTCTGGGATAGCATACATGAAGCGGCGATCCTTTTTTTGTTTATTTTTTTGATTGTCATTTTTTCCTTTTGTTCATTTCCCTGAAACTTTTTTGCATCTTTCCCAAGGGGTAATCTTACATAGTTTCTGGAAAGGAAAATTATTTTCTTTAAGATATTTGCTTTTGAGAAAATATCCATTAAAAAGTACTTTTCGTTTATCAGAATGAATGACGTATGGCAGTCGATTAAAAAAAAAATCTCCGACAGGAATGACACTGCTATAAACTTTAGAGCAATACCAAAGTAAATTACAAAAAAAAAATCTGCTGCCGTAGATCGAGCAGAAAGGTTTTCGAACAACTAGAGCTGTTTTTTTAATGTGTTTTTGCCTATATGCAAATGCGCGTACTGCAACGACCCGTGATGTGTGTGTATGTGTGCGACTGTCCAGATATTTCAACTCGGCAACCTAGTGAGCTTCGGCAATGTAATTTTGCCATTGGGTTCCTGGCCAAGCGCTACACCCAGAAACATGATATCAGATTTCACGAACACGCTTGGCCCCACGTAAAAGGCGCTTGGGCTTCGCCTCTGCAACCTCCCTTCGCCCTCTCCCCCCTATTTTAAATACTGCCATGGAGAAAACATTCGAAAATAATCCAGAACAGATAACATTAGTCTCTTGCTAGTGAAGCTGTCGTTGGTATCATAAGAATCGAAATGATGGTGTTTGATTTCCTAGTAGACTTATAGCGCAAGTATCAGTTTACTATCAGCGCAAATCTACAATTCGTGATGAAAATTTCATAGCAGAAACAGGATGCTAGTACAATTTTATCATCAATACTAATTTATAGGACGTAAAAGAATTGCTTCTGCTGCTCGCGAAATTCAACTAAACAAAGTTTGGGTGTAAATCTAGCAAAAAAAAGCGTACCTGTTAAAAATGGTATAAATAAGTGGATTAATGGTGCTGGAGAAATATCCAAGCCATAAAAAGAATGATGCAACAGTTGGTGGTACCGCACAGCGAGCACCACAGAAACCGACAGCAAAATTGGCAACAAAAAATGGCGTCCAACAAATGAAAAAACACGCAAAAACAACAGCCAAAACACGGGTAGCCTGTAATTTTGGAATGACTTTTTTTTAGTAGTTCCCCTCTCCTCTTCCCCTCCTCCAACTTCTTCCCCCTTTCCCTCCCGTCCCAATTCAGTCTCTCTCTCTCCTCCTCCTCCCGTCCCTCCGTCCTTTCCATGTGCAGTCTTTCCGAGAAGCAGATGCACTCGGAAATTGCACAAATTAGTACACGATACCAAAACAACTACCAGTCGGCAAAGCTGCCGATGATTGTTTTTCTGAGGGTTAATTAGAAGCAAGCTGATGGCGGATTTGACTCCCTGGCATATGCCGGTACTAATTTATTATGGATACGAATGAACGAACGATAGAGGGATTTGTTTTCCTACCGGAGAAAGC